CAACACCCGTGGAAATGTTTACCCTGGAACAGTTGTTCCGAAATGATATATACTATTGCCATGACGATACGGAATCCACCAGGGATACTTTTGAGCTGCTCATACTCTCGGGAGACGAAACAGATCTTCAGTTTGTCTCCAATATGGAAGTGCACATAAAACTGGTGAACGATAATGAACCCTATCGCACTGCCATTGAGCGTATTTTCCATGTGGTGAGGAATGGCATAAGGACCCTCAATCCTACAGTGCTACAGTATCTGGATGCGGATGTCAATACGAACCACACAGATATCCACTACATCCATGTCTCCAGCACCAATGGAGCCTTTTACAAGAGCGGCCACTACATCGATAGCTTCACACAGGATGATATAGCGAACAGGAGGATTATGTTCCAGCATACTGGTGCTGATTCTGGAACTGCCTCCTTTATAGTCACCGATCGTGAGCACGAGGTTAATGGTTTGTTAGAGATCCGTGCCTCCGATCCGTTCGTCTCCATGTTGGCCACCAATGCCTCCATTGTTCAGGAGGGTAAATTCGTAGTGCTAAAAAACAAAGACTTTATTTTGGAAACCAATTTGGATATGAAACTAGATGAAATCTACTATGAAGTGATTAAACCGCCCTCTTATGGCATACTCATGTATTTGAGTAGTGCCAATGAGGGGGAGAATGGAACTACCATTTATAAGGCCACAAATTACACATCACTGAGTAACTTTACCCACTTGGATATTGAACGGGAGAGATTGGTCTACTGGAATACGGAAATTGCCTCAATGGATAAAGTTAGGTGAGAAATCATAAACTTGTACAGATTTTATAAATGCTGATTAACTACATTTTAAAATCCAGATATCGGGTGCATATCAAGAACATAACTGCTGAAGGAGAGGTCATGTTCCGGATTTATCCTTCTGCATATTGGGAACCCCTACAAGTAAAACAGAACCACACTCTTTATGTGGAAGAGTCCACAAGTGTACTTATCTCCAGAGATGTCTTAGAGGTAGGCTTTTATTATAAAATCCTAGCCAACCCTTCATCTAACCCTTGATTTCATCTGTAGGTTGTTCATCCCAACATTTCCCCAGGAGACATAACCTTTTTAGTAACATCCTCACCCATGCATGGATATCTGGAAATGCAATCCATGTCGTTTGATGATGAATACAACTGCAAGGTGTTCGATCAGTCTTCTGTGAACACTGAAAAAATGTTTTATATACAAGCAGGAGTCAATCAATCCACGGATTACTTTGTATTCGACGTTACCAATGGCATTACATGGCTAAGACAATTGACATTAAAGATTGTGATAATGCCAGAAAAGCTGTACATGCACTCGAATATTATATCAGTCGTAGAGGGAAAGACAGTGCAATTGAATCCCACTGACATACAACCCTATTCGGAGTATTATCGGGGGAAGATACTGGAGTACATAGTGACCATTACCCCGAATTCCGGTCACATATTGGCCGGAAATTCGAAAGTCAAGAGGTTCACTCAAAAGCAGCTCGAACAGGGTAATATTCAGTATGTTCACAATGGCAGTGAAAATGCCACCGATACCATCACTTTGGTGGCCATGGCCAGAAACAAGGAGAGTGTTCCCTTTGAACTGGAATTCGCTGTGGTCCAAGTAAACGATGAGGAGCCCATGATGGTCACCAATACGGGTCTGCAGGTGTGGAACGGTGGGCGCTATGTCATCAAGAACACTGATCTATGTAAGTTGGGGATTAATATTTTTTAAAATATTTAATTATAACATTAATTATTTTTTATCAGTGGCTCAAGATTATGACACTCCTCCAGAGAATCTCACCTTTATTGTGAACCACATATATGGAGGTTACTTAGCTAGGAAATCCGCACCCCATCGCAAAATAGAGCAGTTCACCCAGGCGCAAATAAACCTCGAAGAAATATATTTCATGCACGACTCCAACTCCAGGAGAAACGAACTATCCTTTATAGTTACAGATGGTCTATTCAACACCACTACTCAAATGCTGAATATTGAGATTAAACCCATTGAAATACTCGGGGAACACAATGAAAATCTTCATGTTTTTCCTTTGACCAAGAAACAAATCCTGCGTGACTATCTCTACTTTAAATGTTCCGATGAAGAACGGGAGATACGCTATAATATCACAGTTCCTCCAACTCTGGGTCGCATTGTAAATGAGTTTATTGATAATGGCTTTACCAAGGAAGTCAGCGAGTTTACCCAAAATGATGTGGATAATGGTCATATATTCTACGAACACACAGCTGTTATAATGGAATTCAGAACGAACGATTCATTTTACTTTGATGTGGTGGCTGAAAGAAGCGATCGCTTGTTAAATCAGAAATTCAATGTAGAGATATCCGTTTCCTCCGGGGGCTTACTAAGATTCCTGCCTGTAAATAAACTTAATGTGGATGAAGGTGGTTCGGTGCCTATAAGGCTTGATTTCTCAAAGATTTTGGAATATCTCAAAACCAAAGCTGGAATAAATAATCCAGAGTTATTTATAGAGGCCATACAAAAGCCCACACATGGCAACATTGGCCTGGGTCACGAATTTAAACTAATGCAGAGATATCACCCAAGTGATTTCTTTACAAAGAAGGTCTACTACATACACGATCATTCAGATACCTTGGAGGATACCATACTTATGTCGGTTTACCTGACACAAGGGTGAGTTTTTAAAATATACTTCCAATTTAAATAAACAGATCTTGTAATTTGATATGGTTTTTCATAATCTTAGGAACATTTTCCTGTGCAATTTGACAATACCTGTGTCCATCAATCCCATCAACGATCAACCCTTCCATTTGGTCACCCATCTGCCCCAAATGACCGTCGTCGAGGGTGAGAATCGTACTATAACTAGGAATGATTTGCTAACCGAAGACGCGGATACACCACCAGAGGAAATCATATACGAAGTGATGAGTGGTCCCACTTTGGGAGTGCTAAAAAAGATCACAAACGATGGACAACCCGAGGATCTTCTGGCTTTCTCAAATCAATTTACTCAATCGGATATCAACAACGATCGAATTATATATGTCCACTTTGGCATGCCGCAGTCGACAACATTTTGCTTTACTGTATCCGATGGACAATCAAATCCAGCCTACGAAATATTTACCATCAAAATAGTTGCAATAAGTCTGCAACCCTCAGCAATGCAAATGCCTGTGAAAGTTCAGCAAGGAGCCACTACAGCTCCAATGAAACTAGATCAAATTGGAGTGACCACCAATGTTCATGTGGAGAGGTTGTCCTACAACATAACAAACTCGCCACTATATGGTATTTTAGTTTTCAAACATCAACCAACTTTGAGGTTCACCCAGCAGCAGCTGGAAACATCACAGATAAGCTATATGCAAACGGATTTAAATCGTTCGAATGACACCTTCCAGGTGAGTGCCTATGTGCCGGGCACCAATTATGCAGCTCAAGTGGATGTGGTGATGGAAGTGGAGCCTGTAATACAAATCAACAATATAGTAATGAAGGAAGCAGATCCTGCTGGGGGAAAAATAAAGCTTATCACCGCTTTGGACAACGATAATCCTTTGTCACTGAAGCTCAACAAGTTCAATCCCAAGTTTGTGATCACTAGAATGCCATCAACTGGGCAAATTAGAAAGATAATCCGAAGTACGGGCCTTACGACCGATGGCCAGAACGATAGATCCACGAATATATTCTCCTACAAAGAGCTACGAAGTGGTGTGGTATATTTTGTTCCCCATGAATCTGTGGAGGAAACGGAGGCGGATAATGATAGTTTCGATTATCAACTTCTCATAAAGACAGTACAACCTGCACAGGCCACTGTATCGATTGAATATCGTAGTCGGGTTGAGGAAACGGAGACAGTTCACTTGGGGAATGCAGGTTTATCCATAAACTACCTAGCCATAGGATGTGCCATATTTATCGTGTTGATCTGCCTACTGATCGTACTGTTAATATTGAAAATCAGAAAACTGAGAAAGCACAAGGCAGATATATCCAAGGATCAGCCGCCGGCACTGCCCTGTCCACCAGATTTGACATCTGTGAGTCCGCAGCACCATCTGCATCACCATCATAGCCACCATTATGCGAGCTCCGAGGCGGATTCAGTGCCTCCGACAGGAAACTCAACTCCATTACCGGGTTTCAGTAATATTCCCCATTGCAAGATCATACCCGTGGAGTCCTATAAGCATGAGTTTCCCGATTACGATCCCGATGAGGAGGAGACGGACGACCAGTGCGATCCGCAGCAAATGATGCTGCCGCAGAGATACAATCCATATCATCTGGAGCACGATGCCTGGAGCTCATCCTGCGATATGGCGAATGATTTTGCCGGCTATGCCTCCGTGCCGCAAAGTATTTCCGGTTCGGTCAGTTCACCGCCCTCGGCCCCGCCCACCAATCCACTGCTAAGGCGGAATCAGTATTGGGTGTGAGTTAGAAATGCCTTAAAAACTGAGAAAAGAGGATCAAATATACACATTTTATATATTTCCAATTGGATCGGAATTAGTCCTAGGTTATTTATTTAAGTTTAAGCTTACGTTTAAGGCTGATTTATGAGATTCGTTAGGAAAAGTTAAGCATTTTATACACGAGAACATTAATAATAGTATGTAAAGAAACATACATACATATCTGGCGTGTCATATACAAACGATTAGAAGTAAGAACGATTACAAGAGTTATACTCAAAAAGCCAACTTAACTTAGCCTAAGAATTGTGTTTGCCAACGTGGAATACTTTTTACAATAAATGACAGTACATTTAAGCGTAATCCGTTGTTTTACTAAACATTTTTTATTTTTTGCGGGTCGATTACTTATTGCTGTCGATAACTGTCTGGCCGGATGGAAGTGTGGTGAGTAATTTCGTGGTAGAGCGCGTAATTTGAATTATGTGTTGAAATTCCTAACAGAATTTTCAAAAGTAGAAGATTAAATAATAATGTTCTATCAAATAATATATTGTGATGTAATATTTTAGTTTATTTTAAGGAAACTGGAAAACTATATATATATAAATTGGAAGTTAAAGTACTAAGTGTGACTTCGTTTCATTCAATACTATGAATTGAATACAATACACACATAGTCATTGATGAAACTTGTCTGATTCCTTTATGTAAAATTCGAATTTAATATTAACTTAAATTAGTAGTGCATTTTATACAGTTTGTATTCATTTAAGTATTTCAGGCCGCAATGGTATACGTATAAGCTAAAACGTAAAATTATAAACAAATTATATAAATTTGTTTCTGCATAAAATTTACTCTAAAAATTTGCTTAACAAGTTACAAGAATATCACTAGTTTCAATGTGGTGCACATTTTGCTTTTGCTGGACTGATTTAGGTTCAAGAGTTATTTTTAAGTATTTAGATGGCTTTAGAAAGCGACGGGAGCTGTCGCCGGTGTGGGTTTCTCGGAAATCGGCGTTACGACCATGGCCTGATTATCGTATCCATAGCCGATTTCAGTCATAACCGTAGTGGGCGTTGTACTATTTTCCGCCGGATAGCGAGTGCTTACCGGCGTTGTCATGGTCACAACGGAACCCTCGGCGACACCTGCAATAAATCAAGGATATTATAATATGTACTATTTAAAAAAAATCTCGGACAGGTAGATCCTTACACTTACCTGCCACACTGTAGATTTGCGATTGCGCCCTCTCAAGGTCGCTGCCATGGCGGTTGATGGCATTCAGGTTCTGGATGGTGGTGGCATTGAGGTCCTTTCCATTCTCCGTCACTGGATGAGGATAGGCCTTTTTTTGCAGACGGCGCATCAGCTTCTGGAAGCACCAATTGCCTATCATCCATCGAAAGAATTGGAAGGCACAGCGAAAGGCGATTAGGATGAGTACGATGGTCAGCAGCCAAATGATCAATCGTTGGGTATTCTGGATGTTCAACATCTCTGCCTTAAGCGGCTCGAATGTATTGTAAGCTGAAGTTACAAAATATTTTGATATGTTAGTCATAAAACATTTTTAATCTAACCCCTTCCAAGAATTTAATATAACTTCAAATATCCCAAATCTGACAAATGGAATATGTGCCTCGAATTTTACAGCTTTCAAAAAACATTTCTAGACCAACTTACAAAATTTATATAGTCATCTTTCTAGCTGATATTTTCTTATCTTGAGGAAGAGACAAAATAACCTAAAGAATTATCAAAGCGTCAATTTAAATTTGCAGAAGCGTGATAACAAACAAGTATTTACGGATATAATGCTGACAAAATAAGAAAAAAAATTTATAATCAAATTTCCGGACTTTATAATAATAAAAGTGCGTGTTTGTTATCGTAACCAAAAAAAACGTTTCCCCCTCCAAAAGTAAGACTCATAGTAGGTACTTTACGTCCGGGAAAAATGAGTTGCTATAAATATTTGCTGACTCTATCTTTAAGATTTGCACTTACAAACTTTACAAGGCGAAGTGATCAGCAAAGTACATATAAGATAATTTCTTTGATAACGCTAATACTAACATACATTATTCTTCAGACATTACTAGAATTGTAAAGAGTAAAAGGAGAGTAAAAATAAAATTCGCAGTGCGAGTTCTAACAAATCAATTTAAATATATACTGTATATCTTCAAGATATTTAGCATCTTTTGTTAGCAACTCATGGGGGATGAGTTAATCACCTGTTCAAAACCACTGTAATTGCAAAACAATTGATTCCGGCTGGAAAAACCTGAACTCACATACAACTTGCCAAATTACCCTATACCTTGAAAAAAAATCTGAGGTAACCTTTGGGGAATCTATCGATTATACTTGCCTGAGCATTCCTTGAGGCACAATGTCGCATCGTAGTTGTGGGTTTGATTATTACAGACCGCCGTGCAAGGGTGACAGTTCTCCGTTGCAACATAGCAAAATTCATTCACCGGATGGCAAACCACTCCGTGGCAATCCCTACTGCCTCCATTGGCCGCTGCTACCAAAGAAAAGCTTGGTATCAACGGTATTCCGCCAACGGAAAGCGACAAGGCGCCCATTTTTCTGGCCGACATTTGAGGTATTTTATGTGTGAGGTCTTTCTAATATTAAACTTTTTTCGATATTTCAGCAATGGTTGAGCGCAGTTTACATAAGCAGCGCTTCCTTTTTGTTTTGCTATTTTTAAACGTATCCAAAGTATGATTCATACACTAATAACGCGGCCCAGACGCTTACTGACTTCTCTTTTAATTGTTGGCTTCTGGAGTCTGAGTATTTGTTGTTGCCTGTATGCCTATTCACATGTGTATTGGTGCAAACGAGTTTATCTTGGCCAAGTTTCACGGCATTTTTCCTAGATTTCCTTTTTAGTTTTTCCACACGTTTCTACTAAGCATATCCGGACACAAAATATTTGTATTTATTTATGTAATTTTTACACCAAAAACTATGTTATTTTTAACCGTTGTGCAATTTTTAACGTTATTGGTCAGCGTTCACCGAAGCGTTTTGAGCCACATTCAACTCGTTACTGGCTGTAATACCTCGATCGCTCGCTGTTACCAACCACTCAGCACTCACACAGTGGCACCGAACTCAAATACAGACTCATCCGCACCGTGACTTGACTTTTGTTTACCTTTTTTCACGTCGATTGTGGATGCGAAAGTATCTCTATATCTATATCTATGCTGAGGCAGGTAACCCAAGTGTTTGTGTATTTGCGATCTGTCTGTTTATTTTCTGTTTTGAGTGAAATACTTCCAGAATTCGGAATACTTTGAACCCGGCTTCAGTTGCTTTCATCTCAGCAGTATTTGGACTAATGAAAATAAATATCAAAGGCGGAGCGTACTACAAACAAATGTTTCATTGAAACTTAGTTACTCACTCCTTTTTTAAGTACATTGCTTTTAAAACTATGAATTAATATGAATCATATTCATGGAAGTAAGCCATCATGAATTTAGAAAAAAATGTCGATAAGAAATATTGACATACACATACATTGTACAAAAAAAAATATTTCCGAAAAATTTAAATCCTGTTTACATTTATCCCTGTTGCAATAATAATTTTAGAAATTGTAATTTAAAAGAATTTTAAATATTTAATATAAACCACATTACTCACACATATATTTCTTTTAGTGTCGATTTTGTTTAACTTGCCATACTATCGCGAGGGTGCGTGTCTTCGCTAAAGAGCACATTTAATGGCAGCACTGATGTTGTATACATAAATGTTTTATTCTTATTAAAATACTACTATCTTGAATGCAATTTAAAACATTTATTATTAAACTAGGTTAGAAGTAACATTTAAAAAAAATTGTTTTATTTGTTTAACCACTTTTTTAAAATATAATTTTGCACTGCTCTTAAAACTTGGCAGCACTTTTCAATCTCATGTTTTCCAGCCCTTCCAAGCGCGCTCTCTCTCTCTCTTCATCCGCTCACTTCCATTGCAGTGCCGCTTGCGAGATACTTTTGTATCTGCTTCCAGTCGGGTTCCAGCGCCGCTTGCAGTGTTATTATTACTTCCAGTGTGCTGGACTGGATGGCCAAGTCAAACAACATCCATTCGCTGAGCGGCTTTCGCTGTTGAATGAGCTGTTTTGCTGTTTTCGTGGAACGACGGCCGCCGCGTATCTTTCAGATACAAAAATTAAATCGAATCGAACCGAATTGCAGCTGCCGTTGCGCGTGTGTTGTCGATGGAAATTGTGGAATTATAACAATTATTTCTCGTGTGGAAGTGTGAAAGTGAAATAGTCGCCCCAAGAGCGACGCAATTAGATGAAAATATAGTTTACTCACGCTCTGTATCCGCCGTGTATCTTTATATCTTTTGTGCGAGCCCGCTTCAACAAGTAAACCAATATTTTAAAAATCACTCGAGTGGAAGGCTGCGCGTCCTTGGGCTGCACCCAATTTTAAACACCTGTTTTAGAACCGAGATACAGATATTCGATTGCGATTTGATCCACCGAAAGAGACAGCCGCAGCCAGTTAGAACGAGACAGGGAAAGCGAGCTGGGGAAAGAGATGAATAATTTCACAACCACAACAGCAGCCGCACCACCAAAGGAAGCGCTGCCCCGATCAGGACATGTTAATGAGGGTAAGCATGGGTTAAGAACCGAACCAAACCAAACCATTTCGAAATTGGTTGAACATGAACAATTTCGTACGGGGCCTTGGATAATTGGAAATTGATTGGGTTTGAGTGGGGCTATTGAGATGAGGGAAGGAATCAGGGGCAGGGGCACTACATAGAAGTGATTAATTTGAGGTCTTTTAGAATTCCTCTTCTACGTTTCTTCAAGGGTAGATTTGAACTCTCTGAGTATTTCCTTAACAAAATTCCCTGGCTAGTGATCAAAGGTGATTTTAAAGAGGTTTTTAAATTCCCTTTGCTTAAGTATCTGTTAAAAAATTTTACATTCCTTTGTTTTTTTAAATATTTCTAGGAACTATTGTTTTAAAGAAATATGTGTATATTGAAAAACCACTGAGATATTTGTAAGCAATTTTGTTTTTTTGTTCTAATACATTTGGAGTTGGGAATTTCGCTGTAATTTGTCTCCTTTTTTTTATAGAACTGTTCATTATCATTTAATATCTACAATTCTTAACAACAATTTTGAATAAATCATTGAAAATGACTAAACAATTTTCCAGCTATTCATAAAAATAGTTTTGCAATCTCTTTGATCACATCATAACGAAAATTATTCTTGCACTTCCTATACCCTCATTCATTCCACCGATTTGATATCTTTGAATGCCGACATCAGCCAAAACAAACATTCAAGTTCCCAGAACTTCTCGAGTGTCGTATGTGCCTTGGGGTTCAAAATGTAAGCTATTTTTCTGTTGATTCAGATGTAAACAAACGCCATCGAGCACGTTTCCCCTTATCGCGTTCGGCTTGACCTTATGTAATAATCAAAACATTTGCATAGGAAAATGTTACAACATGAAAAGCTAGCTAATCCAACACATTGAATAAGCTCAATTATTTGAAAACCGAATATGGAATCTCGATCACAAAGAAATGGCTGTTGTGCAAATCTCTTGGGATCACATTTGGAATTTGCTGTTATGCTAATGCGAAAGATTGTCCAAAAGAAGACAAAAATAATACACAGAAGACACGAGCTGAAAAAACTTTCTCGACGCTCAGCCACAATCGCAAGAAGTTGGCAAGTTCCCTCTTTTTTTGGGGTTTTGAAAGTCTTTTTGAGACGATAAACAAAAACAAAGACCGCCAGTCAGCAGCTGAGGAAACCGCATAGTTCAGACCAACGACCGAAAGCGGACAAAGCTCTGAAGAAGAAATTTCAGTTGAAAAATAAACAAACACCGAGCTCTTATATAGTTTTCTTTTAGAGCAATCGAGGGGAAGCCGAGCGATCCCCGCTACAGAAAGGGAAAATATACACTGTTTTTTTTCTTTTTGGAGGTGCAAAAAATGATTGCCGCAAGCACTTTCCATTTAATGGATACACTTAAAAAGATAATATATACATAAATCAATTAATAACTAATAGCACAAGATTTCCAAAATTTGGTCTGCGTGATATTTTCCCTTTGAAATCTTAAAGATCGTTAATCGTTAATTGTTTCCATTTACATGGTCCTTATAAATTTATGATAATATAAATTTCTTTGATATAATGAGTAAATGCAAACAATTAACAATTATTTAAATGATTTTAATACATCTGAAAATATTATTTCCCAAATTCCATTGAATGTTTTGTATTTAATATGTTAAAAAAAAATGTTTTACCTATTAAATTAATTTTTATTAATTATTTCATCCTTAAAACTACTTTATACTTCTTTATATTATATTATATATATTATATCATGATTGATATGACCTCTTGCAGTCAATCATTAGTGGTGCCTATATTCAAATGGTATGCTGCTTAGGTACCCAGTTGTTAGCCGATTTTCCTGAGATTTTTCCCCAGTGCAGATATGCAAAAAGGCTGACTCCGAGCATTTGTATCTTAAAGATACAGCGCGTGCAGCAGGCAACAGCTGACGGTTAGCCGAGGGGATTGCAGCCGCTTCATTTGCGCCCAAGCACGCATGACAAAAGACCCCCACAAAGAGTCGGCCCTCGGTTTGAAATAGCCGTGCCTCCAACTGAAACTCACTCAACTGCTGGCCTCTTTTTTTTTTTGCCAACCAGGCTGACTGACAAGTGAAGGGGTTTCTTTTCAGGAGGGGGCTATTATGGGAAGGGGCCCAGCAGCCCCAACAGCAACAGAAACAGCAGCAGTTGCATGACGAGCCGCCTGAATGCAGTTTATTTCTTTTTTTGCTCGCATGCCAGGAATGATTCACTCGCCAGGCCACGATGACAGGATGTGCGAGTGCCAGGAAAGAGGTCTCCTCCATTTGGATTTGGCTCTTAACATTTCTATGGGGATAGCACTTAAAGGAAACTCAAGCCCCACTCTTTTTTGCCCCTTTTATATCGCTTTGTCATGACTTGCGGTGGCCTATAAAACAACTCTTCCAGAAGCCCAAATAATGGAGTTTCCAAGGAGTTGGGCTATCCACCTTAAGTGCTGGTGCTTGCAAATGAAACTCTAAATAAACTGAAAAGTTCTATGAAGAAAATTGCTCTTGTATTTAGAGCACAAGTTTAGGTAATGTTAAGAACACATGGGGTTTTTATTGCCTCTCGACCTATTTGCATTCATCGGTGAGATAATGTAGTCTGATCTAATGTTTTATTTAGCCTTTAGCTAATACCCAGGTAATTTGTAAGCATCTTAAAACGAGTATAATGTCATTAGGGAAAATATAATATTTTTTTAACTATTTAATATTTAATATTCACATTTCAACCCAGCTAAAAACTATGAGTCACAATTCTTAGTGCTAAAAAAGTAACCAATATAACTATTATGAAAAGTAAATATTTAATCAGACTGTTTGCCAATATTTACAACTGCTTAACCGACGTGGAAAAATAAATAAATATTGATAATGAAGAACCCAAACGACTCATGATCCATTAGTTGCAAATACAAATTGGCGAGCTAATAGGCTTACTTCCTCTTTTCAAAAACAGAGAAAGCTTGCCTGTCTAAATTCATAAGTATCGTAGCATGAAACCGAAATTAAGCTAATTTTTGGGCTTTGCTTTGTTGCCATAAAATATAACCATCAAATAGACAATTATTGGCCTTTCTGCTTTCGGTGTGCATAACTTGGATTGTGAGTGCCTGCGAGGCAATTCAATCAATCAACGGAAACCGAAACTGAACCCGAAATGTGAGTTCATTTGAATGAAACATAAACTAGAGATGTTGCAGCCAGGCTAAGGTCAATGTAAGGCTGGCTAAATATACTGCAGTGTGTGTGTATCTGTATCTGAGGCGTATCTGTATCTGTCAGATGCAACATTCAAATAGTCGACATTGCAGGCCGCATTTCTCGTCCAGTGGCAGTGGCATGTTCAACAACCTTGAGTCAGGTTTTTCCACTTTCGGCGCCGCGCCGCTTCTTCGCCGCTG